TACAATGCACTAAATGTTGTTCTTTGATGAGGAAAACCACAAGGGATCCACAGGCTCGGGTAAGGGCTGTTTCAACGTCCTCGATGAAGCTTGTTTATTAGGTCGACGCTGTTGTGCAAAGCACTGATAAGAATTTCCTCGTCCCTATAGGAGGATCTATTGTCATTGGTCAGAGTGATTTGGTATCAGACGTTGGTGGCGGGTGGGTTGATGCTGCTTGGAAGTTGTGCTGAATTATCTGTGTAGGTATCCCGGCCGAGCTAGTATGTCTCCAATTCTAGATTTGTTTATCACGTTGATGAGTCTGGGGAAATCTGGTTGGCTTTCGATGTTGAGGAAGAGAAGGGAAATGTTCAAGGATTTCAAAATGAAGCTCCAACGATGGACGCTCGAAAGAGGCCTCAGAGTTTTGGAGGTAAGTCATTCGTATGGTATTAACTGTCTCTTCGCGCCATAGAATGTCATCAAATTATGTCATAACACGTCTTCTTCTGCGAGCAATTGGAGCGTTTTCGATGACGTGTTTCGTCGGCTTCACATTTCGAGATGATTCTAATCCGCTGCCTTCCAGGTTCCATGGAATAGGATATCACTAGCGATCGATCTCTCATCGCTGGACCTGAATTCGGGAACTGCAGCTACCGAAGTGAGTGATCGAATTCAGACCACAGTCCTCATTGATGTGCCCTTTTAGCTCGGGAGCGCGCTGTTCACGCGTCGTGTCAGCGGCCCTCGGGTTGTTGTGTGTGAGGATGGGCCCAGCAAGGAAATTGGCGGCATGATGTTCAGCAACTACGGCAGTCATAGCGAACATTATTTTGCGGTAGGTTTGAGGATTTCCGCGCATTGGGAGTTCAATGGACTATAGAAAGCACACTGGGTATGAATGGGTGTTCGAAAGTTAAAGTGGAGCTTATTGCTGTCGATTGACAGGTTTCGAAGGTTCTTATTTCAGGCTTCAAGTTATATGACCTGCGCGTGCGCCATCGGATGTGAGCAAGAAGAGCTAGACGAGTTTCTGGTTCGATTCGACCACGTCTTGAAGGATCTGGAGAAGAAGAAAGAGAAGCGGAGCTCGGAAAAACAGCGTCGATCCTAATCGAGCTCATACCTCTGTCTCGGTTTTTGCCAATGCCGACCTTGAATTTCCTTCCAGAGTTAATAACTAACTAGGCGGCTGAGGGTCTCGAGCACGTTTGACAGTGTGTATACATGCCTTTTATACCCACTCGTTATCACCACTATAGGGGTGGAAACTATGTGGAAACCCTACCATATACAAGCTGCTGTGCTGCGGATTCCACGGTGTAGGACTTTAACAGAACCAACGGTTG